TGTTGAAATTGGCGAATATTATTTAACATTAAATATTATATTAAACAAATTTATTGATCATAACTATATCAACATTGAAAATAGTAACGAACTTGATATTAAAAATGAATTTTACAATGAAATTGAAGGTGGAATTATGGTAGATACATATCATCTATTTCCAGTCTAATTTAATTTAATCTAATTTAATCTAATTTTATTTATTTACATGATTTAGGATTTGTTGCTTGATTTGTTTATTTATTCGGATGGTCCTAGATTAAGAGATCACATTTCACATGGTGAATCAAATAATTTATTGTCATTATTAAACTTAAATGATGATAATAATAATAATTTATCTAAATCATTTTATAATTACTATCTAAGTTTATTAATAGTATTATTTAACAAATACAACTTATTATCACAATTAGATGATAAATTTAATTTGTTAATTAGAGATTATGATAATTGGATCAATAATTATAAATCTAGATTTCATCTTATTTCATTATATTACAAACAAACAATTAAATTAATAATTCTTGTAAGAAAATGCTGGAAGGTTGCAAATGAAATAATCAATAATAGTAATAAAAATTTCCAATTGAGTAATAATAATTACTATTACGAGGAAGAAGGGAAGGTGAAAGAAAATGAAGGTGAAGGTGAAGGTGAAGAAGAAAATATTGATTATAAAAAATCAAATTTATTTAAACAAAAGTTATTATTAAATATTTTTAATAATAATAATAATATGAAATCAGATTATGAATTAATTAAATTTTGCAAAGATCATTTAAAATCATTTCAAAATAAAGATTTTTATTTTAATAAATTAAACTTAACAAAAAATGATTATAGAATAATTAATTTTAGAATGGTAGTAATTAAAAAGTCAATAATAACAATTGAAAAGGTAAAAAAATTTTCTTAAAAACTTTCTAATTAAAACTTTTTTTTATATTAACTATTTTTTTTTTTTAATTTAGTTATTTTCAACTTTAGAAATAACAAAGTTGTCAACTACTTTTTCTTCACGTAAACGTAAAAATTTACAAACATTATTTAATTTATTGACAACAATATTTCAAAAATTATTTTTATCTTTAGAAATATTAGAAAGTACTGAGAATCAATCATTGATGTCCTCAACTTTGATATTTATGGAAAAATTACACAGAAATTTTATTAATAACAGTTGGTTAAACATTGATAAAGATTATAGTGATTTCATTACAAAATATAATTCAATTAGAAAAACAAAAAAATACAAATGATAATCATGATTAAGGTTCTAAAAGTAATTTTCCAGTAGTTTTTCTACTTTCTAAATCTTCATGTGCTTTCTTAGCATCAGATAATTTGTATACATTCCAAATGTTTATATGTACTTTTCCACTAATAATAAATTCAAAAACTTCTTTAGTGTATTTTTGAAATTCTTTTTTTGTAACAAGATAATTGAATAAAGTTGGTCTCATCAATCTTATATTTTTTTCTGCCAATCTCAATACATCAAATGGAGGAATTTTACCACTGGCATTACCAAATGTTATGAGACTAGCAAGTCTTTTACAACATGCAAGAGAGTCATCAAAAGTATCTTTACCAACTCCATCGTAAACTACATCTACTCCAACTCCATTGGTCAATTTATTAACTTCTTCAACAACATTTTGAATCTTGTAGTTAATCACATGATCCACTCCCAATGATTTTACAACCTGTCCTTTTTCCTCTGTTGAAACTGTTCCAATGACTGTTGCTCCTGAACCTTTACAAAATTGTACAATCAATGATCCTGTACCACCTGCTGCTGCATGTACAAGAACCCAATCGCCCTTTTTGACTTGATAGGATTCACTCACTAAAGTCAATGCTGTTAGTCCCTATAAAAAAATGATGCTATTATTATTTAAAAAATTTAAAAAACAATCAAATAGACATTTTTTTTGTCACTAAATTTACCTGAATAATACTTGCACATCCAACTTTGAAATCAATCTCATCAGGCATTTTCATAGTAAATTTATCATTGACAATTGAATATTCTGAATAACTTGATGATCCAATATAAACAACTCTATCCCCAGGTTTAATATCTTTAACACTATTTCCAACTGATTCAACAACTCCAGAACCTTCTCTACCAAGTATAGCTGGTAATGTGGTCTTATAAAGACCAGATCTAATAATAATTAATAATAAATAATAAAATTCATTAATACTCATAATATATTTAATATATACCTATGGTAAGTATCAATATAGTTTACTCCTATATATTTATTCTTAACTAAGATATCTTCAGGATTTTTCAATTGTGGAATTGGCAAATCAACATGTTCTAAAACTTCTAAACCTCCAGTTTGTTTAATTTGAATAGCTTTCATATTCCTAACTGGCAGAATTTGATTAAAATTGTTAAAAGGTTTTCTTTGGATTTTAATTATTAAATTCTTTATCATCAATGCGGGGGGTGCTAAACCAAATTTTGCGAATCATTATTTATTGAATGTCGATCTTATTGTAAATATAAACTTTGGTATTTATGGGGGTCAAAATGTTTCTTTTAATAAAGAAATTGTTTAAACGTGCTCCAATGACCGAGTTAAATTATAGAAATAAACTAATTCTTGCTCCAATGGTAATCTTTACTACTTTTTATATATAATAACAAAAGAAAATTTTTTTAAATCATTAAAATGTGTTGCAGGTTAGAATTGGTACTCTCCCATTGCGTCTTTTAGCATTAGAATTTGGAGCAGGTAATAAAAAATTTATTCTGCAATTGATCGTTTTCATATATTTCATATAATAATAAACAATGATGATCATAAAACAGATCTAGTGTATTCACCCGAAATAGTAGACAGGCGAATAATATCTTCTGAAAGACATATTAATGGTAATAAAAAAAATAAACAAAATAAATTTTCTTTAATAATATAATAATAGTAATAATTATTCATTACAAACTATTATATATATATATATGACTCACATATTTCAGGTTAAACTCTATATATATAAATAGAAGAAACAGGAGTTATTGAATATATAGATAAACAGAATACGATGAATTTTCAAACACTTCCAATTGAGAAATCAAAATTAATATTTCAAATTGGAACTTCAGATCCAGATCTCGCGTTAAAAGCTGCATTAAAAGTGTAAATTGGTTTTTTGTTTTTATTTTTATTTTTGTGATAATTAACTAATCAATTAAAATTTATTAGGAAAGAAGATGTATCAGGAATAGATGTTAATTGTGGATGTCCTAAAAAATTTTCAATACAAGGTGGTATGGGCGCAGCTTTGCTATCAAATCCTGAAAAATTAAAGGCTGTAAGTTTTTTATGATCATATATTTATTTAAAAAAAGATTTTTTAAGTAGTAATTGATATTTTTATTTAACATAGATATTGAAAAATTTAGTAGATAACTGTGGTCTCCCAGTTACATGTAAAATTAGGTATAAATAAGTAAATAGTTAATTAATCACATTATTTATAAAGATAGAGGGTGCAATTCATTAATTGTACTATATTTATCTTTCAGGATTTTAGACACGAAAGAAAAAACAATAGAATTATGTAAGATGATAGAATATACAGGTGTTAAAGCAATCGCCGTTCATTGTAGGTGAGTATTTAATAAAAAATTTTACAAGAAGTATATATATACATATTAAATAATTAATCAATGTGTTGAACAGAACTCGTAATGAACGACCAAGACAACCTGGACATTGGGAAATATTTAAAGATATAATGGAGAACGTTAAATCCATCCCAATAATTGCAAATGGAGATATTTTTCAACAATCAGATATTATCAAATTGAAAGAATTATCAAGTAAGAAACACAATTTTTAATATCTTAATGTATTATTATTATCATTATTATTATTAATGATAATAATTGATTTTATTAGGTGTCAGTTCTATAATGATTGCACGCGCAGCTCAAAGTAACGTGTCAATATTTTGTAAAGATGGATTATTACCATTAAATGAAGTTGCAACTATGTATATTAAAAAGGTTCATTTACAAAATCAATTAATTATTGATTATATTTTACTTTAAAAAATCATAATATTTATCGTTATTTTTATTATTGTGAAGGCTATGATGATAAGAAATCATTTTCCAAATACAAAATACACGATCTTACAAATGTATGCTGAAAAATCTAAAGAGCCGGTTTATAAATCATTGACTCAATCAAAAACTTACCAAGATTTATGCAAAATTTTCAATTTGAAAGATGAATCAGTTTTATCACAGAATAATAATGATGTTGATGGTATTGAATTTTGCAACAAGAGAAAACTAGATGATAATCCATTAAATTATTTTAATAAATCTTTGAAAATAATTTAAATAAAAATATTTATAATAAATAAGTTGTATTTAAATAAAAAAAAATTTCACGAGATATATATATAGCACAGCATAAAAAACCTGACTCAAATTATATTTAGTGTGAGAATTTCCACTATTTAATATTTTTGAGGCGATCAGAAGCTCATGCTTAAGTGAATTTATGAATTTATTATAAATTCGATAATAAGAGTTGATTTAGAATTGATTTTTCGTTCTAAGGAACTCCAGTGATTCTTTAATTTTAGAATATTTCAAATGAACATACGGGATTTGGAGATTGCAGATGAATGGTGCATATTGTATGAATTCGAGTTGGTTGTTTGCAGATGATCTCCAAATTTGGTTGGTGAATTAAGTCGAATTCATACACGCCACCCGAATTTTAATAAATTTTGACCCCTGTAATTTTGTGTGACATCATATTACAGTATACCCCCACATTAATATAATGTGTCATACAATTCCATTTGAGGAACTACCCAATTAAAAATAAATTTTTCTCAAAAAAAAAAATTTTACGCGACATTTTTATAGATCATAATACATATAAGTACACAATAAAAGAGGTATTTATTGTCATTATTTTTCACTCATTTTCTCTCTTCTGAAAAAAAAAATTATCAACATGGAAAAATCCAATTACAATAATAAAAATAGTATCAATGATAGTGACTGTAAAGTGCAACTAGACATTGAGAAACACGAACAAAATAAAATTCAACACGAAAAACACGAACAAAACAAACCACACGATCAAATGAAGCAAATCAACAAACAACTTAATGAACAACAACAAAATGAACAAGAACATTTACCATTAAAGAACGATAATGATGACGATGATACATCAGTTATTGAAGATAGTGAATCAAACATTGAAAAAGAACATTTATCTAACAACAAACTCATTGATTCTTCTAGTCAGTTGGTAGCAACTTTGGATGAAATAGAAAAGGATGAAAATATAGAAGATAAAGAAGAAAGTAATGAAAAAAACAACGCTACTATTGAAAATTTAGAAAATAATAATGACAACAATAATAAACATGAGCAATCAGCTCAAAATTTTGAATTAAATAAACCCACTCCAATCGATATAATCAAAATTCATGAAAATATTGAAGACAACATCATTAAAAAAGATCCTTATAATGATGACAATAATATTGAAGACAAAATTCCTTCTAACAATGACAATAATAATGAAGATGAAAATCCTTCTAACGATGACAACAATAATGATTCTTTTAATGAAGATAACAATGAATATAAAGGTCCTTCTAACGATGTTAATAATACTGAAGAAAAAGGTCTTTCTAACGATGTCAATAATAATGAAGAAAAAGATCCGTCTAACAATGACAATGATAAAAATTCTTCTAACGAAGACAACAATGAAGATAAAGATTCTTCAAATTATGACACTAGTGATATTATAGATGCTCCAAATCTTGAGAATAATAATAATATTATAGATGCTTTTAGTAATGATAATAATAGTCCTCTTAATGATAATAATAGTAATGATAAAGATCCTTCTAAGGACGACTATAATAACATTATAAATGCTTCTAATGATAGTAATAATAATAATAATATAAATTCATCTAATGATAAAGTCTCTCACAATGATGACAATAACGAAGATAAAGATACTTCGAATAATGATGACGATGGTAACGTAGCACTTAATTCTAACGAAGATGGTAATAAAGATTCTTCTAACGATGACAATAATAATATAAAAGACATTTCAAATAAAGATGATGATGTAGCACCTACATACAATGAAGGTAATGATAATGTTGCGGTTCCTTTGATAGGCTCTTCTGACGATAATAATAATTATGTAAAAGATATTTCAAATAAAGAAGATGACGATAATGTAGCATATAATTCTAATGAAGGTAGTGATATCGTTATCGTTACAGCTTCTTCGATAAATAACGATGGAGATTCTTCTATTGATGAAAATAATATTGTCAAAAATAAAGACGATGATAATAATGCAATAGGCACTTTCAACGAAGAAAATGATAATCTCATAGGTCCTGTTTCTTCAAACGATTATAATATTTCTCCTGATGATGAAAGCAATGATTTTAAAGATACTTTAAATAAAAGTGAAGAAGATAATATAGCACTTACTTTAAATAAAAGTGAAGAAGATAATATAGCACTTACTTTAAATAAAAGTGAAGAAGATAACATAGCACTTACTTCTAATGAAGAAGATGGCGATAATATTACAGATCCTTCGATCAATAACAAAGATGTCGATACTAATGATATTACGTTACAAACAACTATTAAAATAGTTGATGAAAATATTGAATATAACTATAGCAATAATTATGAAGAAGGGGAAGAAGAAGAAGGGGAAGGGGAAGGGGAAGATGATGATGAAGAAGATGACTATGATGATTATGAAGATGGAGATGATGATTATGAAGATGGAGATGATGAAGATGATGATGATGAGGATGACAATAATGATGAAGAGGAAGGTGATGAAGAGGATGATGAAGTAGTAGTAGAAGAAGTAGCAGTAGAAGAAGAAGAGGTAGAAGTAGAAGTAGAAGAAGATTACATTGACGATGGTAATAATAACAATGATGATTATGACGATGGTTATGAAGAAATACAAGGTGTAAGAAATCGAGGAGTTAAGCGATTTGAAACAAGCGAAACAGATTTACCATCAAAAAGAACCAAAATCGAAGAACAATCAAATAAGAAATCACGCAGTAAATATTATATATTTTCTTTGTTATTATATATAACTATTGATTAATAATACTTTAACTTTGTTATTTATGCAGCCCACAAAAGAAAATTATCAGAATCAGTATTTGAACCAATATTGTGCATATTATTAGATTCAGAAGGTGAATATGGATCAGAAGACGAATATGTATATGAATTTGAATCAGAATACGAATACGAATCAGAAAATGAATCAGAAACAAAATTAGAATTAGAAAAAAAAATGGAGTCTGAACAACCACAAATATTACAAACATCATCTCCTTCGATGGTTACTGATGTTATTACAACAATGTATACACCTGGAATTAATAAAAATCTTGTTATATTAATTAATATTATATTTATAGCTCTTTTGTTGGTATTTATTATACTCGGAGTGGTAACAAAGTTTCCAATAATTATCATTGTCAATATTGTGATTAATTTAATGCTTTGGTATACAGTTAACAGGTAATTATTATTTTATAATTATAATTATAATTATAATTATAATTATATAATTAATTAATATTTATACAATAATATTATCAGATATATATGTTTTTACTACAAAGAACAATTGCAACAAGCTCCCAGCAACATTGATTAATCGAATGATCAACACTTCTCGCGCACATTAATATTGTGTCAATATAGATGATTAAATCATTTATTGGTTTTTTCTTTGCTTCTAATAATAAATTTTAGTAATTATAATTAACATAAATGATTATAATGAAACAATACATACAATCTATACAAATATACTTATTATTACTTTATATATGTAAAATTTCAATTACAATTATAATATATAAAAAAATGATTATAAAATATTTTGTTGTGGTGATGGTGGTGTTGGCGTTGGTGTTGGTTGTAGCAGAGTTTACACATAATATGTTTTAAGTACTTTTTAAAAAAGTTCCGATAGGCTTTAGACCTTGTTGGTAGTAGTGTTATTTAGTAGTAAACCAAAATATTAAATAATGTCATTATAATTTATTTCTAAATATAAAATGAATATTTTCTTCTAAAATGAAAATCAATTTATTTCAATCTCTTCCATAGGTATTATTTCATAATATCTATTGTTACTATTATTGTTATTATTAAAATCTAAACTTAATTTTTTGTTTATTATAGAATTATTGTTATTGTTGTTGTTGTTGTTGTTAATGTTGACATTATTGCTGTCGTTATCATCTAAGATATCTTCATTGAATAGAATTATCGGTTCCATTTCTTTTTTCATACAATATAGTTCACCACCAAATATCATAATACAACAAGTAATTAGATTGATTATCCACCAGATAAAAGTTGTTGGCAGATGACCAGAATAAAAACTTGTTATCAACAAATGAAAAAAATGAAGAGTTAAACAAAAATCAAGGACAAGTTTTGCTCTTTGAATTAATTTAACCAGTAAATAGATTCTATAATATTAATATTAACATATTAATAATAAATTTTTATTATTAATAGAAATGATAAAAATGAAAATGATAGATAAATAAAATATATATTTGACCTACCCAACAATTGAATTTGAAAGCCATGCGAAGCCTAAAGTCCAACCTAGTACTGTATCAGTTCTAAACTCTCTATAGTCAAATAGATGATCTAACGTTATATCATTCCCTGATATTAATAACGTAAACAATGCAATCGTAGAAATCGAAGTATAATATAATGTTTGTAACGCAATAATCTAATAAAGTGCCAAAAAATTTAATTAGTTAATTCGAGGTCTTTTTATTTTTTTAAAAAAAACCAATAGCAACATTATTATTACCTGAGAAACAATGAGAATTGGATCCCAAACAGTTGTCCTAAAAGTTTTATTTCGACGCATTGAAAAATTATTGATTATGTGTAAATACGAGTTAAACAAAAAATGAATTGAGTTGAATTAATTGAAATAAATTGTCAGATCTAAATTGTGAAAACGTCTCTATTCTAAAATATCCTTTTAAAATATAAAATTATGTAACACAGATATTTTGAATGTTAATTTGGGAAATTAAGATAATAAAAGTTTATTGAATATTAAAATGACCAAAGGAAAAAGCCTACTGATTTTGAACGTGGTGATATTTATGGATTATGGAAGAAGGCATACAATACAACAAAGAGTGACAACTGAGGTTTTAGAAGTCCCAAATTCTATAGTATTACCAATAATTCATTCTTTATTACTATTTAGATAAAAGAGATATTGTAAAGATTGTAAAGAATTCGACATTGCCAGATCAATAGAAGTGAGCACTAGAGCTGTACAACGTACTTTACATTCGGAAGGCTATTATGGAATAGTTGTAAAAAAGAACTCCTTTCATTGGTGAAAAAAACGTTTGGGTAGGATAAAATGGACTAATGAATGAATTGAGATTTTTAGTGATGAGTCAATATATAAGTTGCTTAAGAACGATTAAAAAAAATCGGGTTTGATGAAGACTTTATGAAAAATACAATAAAGGGTGTTTAAGACCAACAGTCCAAAAATCAAAAGAGGTAACTGTTCTTGCAAATATAGAATAAGTTTTCTTATTTTAGTCGATGGAAGGAAGTATCAAGAATATCTTTGTGTACTCTTGACAAAATTTCAAACGACGGATCGCATATATAGAACTCTTAAATCAATCAATTTAGGTACCAATCGTCCATTCAACGATTCATATTGTAATCTGTCTAGAAAAAGATACAAATAAATAGAATACATAAATAATAATTATATTATCCTTGATCAATGTTTAGTTTTGAATCATAATCTAATAATTTTTTGCTTCTTTAAAATTGATTATTGTCCATTAACAATTAACCCAATTCATCAACCTCACTAACTCTTTCAACACCTTTCCCTTAATTAATAAATTTCATTTAATTTACTGTTAATTTGCAAAAGCTCTTCAGATAACGGGTTTAATGTCAAGATCATTCAATGAACCGTCATTACTTTCCAAACTTTTTTATTCCTGTTATTGTCGTTATCAGTATTAGAAATTCATCTAATTTACTATTTGTAAATATAGCAGGTTCTTCAATGGTTGGTTTTTTGGACGGACAACACTCTTGAGGTAATATTGGTGGTCATAAACCTTCGCATATATCTATAATTATGAGTTCTATTGTCAAATAGTGGATTGGTAGCCTATGAATATCTTCCACATTAACATTATCGTATTCTTTGCTTACAAGTAACTCAGCTATAAGGTTTATTTGATGATCTTATCAACAGACCCGCATAATCCCAAGTCTGTAACACTCTATCCACTAATATATTACCAGTATCACAATGGATTAAATCTTTTCATGTATATGATATAATGAACTTTATAAATATCTAATGGTTGTAATTCTAACTCTTGATGTTAAATTTGAATTATTTTTTTGTAAAATTCCTTTTGGCACATGATAATTTCCATTATCTAGGAATACCATATGATTAACAGTCATAATTTTATAATAATTCAATGCCGAAATTATATAAATTAAACGGAAATGGTAGTTGGAAAACGCGTTTTTGATCATAATAATATTTTTTTTCGTTTTGTTTTGGTTCAACGTTATTTCCAGAGTGTCCAAGTACAATATCTAATTGTGGAATCTTGCTAATTACACCTGTTACATTCTCTTGGTTTGCCAATTTATCAATTACATTATTTTAATTCAAAATAATCTTTCTTTATCTACAATTTTGTAAAAAAAAGACCTGAAGAAATTCGCGTTTATTGTTATCACCATCGTCGCCGTCCATTATTTTCATTATAATTATTTGTAATTATACACGATGGCGAAAGTCATTTAGTATTGATAGAATTCAAAACTCTCGGTTTTCAAAAATCGAAATTCAATCAAAATCTAATTTGAAATTCTAATATTAATTCAATATCAACTTTTACGTTGATATTTGCTATTTCCTCGTTACAAAATTTTTGGATAATTTTAAATTTAGAAGGTGGTTTATATGCAGGCTTTAATTGATTAACAAACTTGACGAATAATGGGGTTTCTACAAAAGAAAAGTGTAATCCACAACAAACAAACATTGTTGTCGTCAACACTTGATCAATTAACTTTTGTTCTTGAGGTGAAATGTTTGTTGGATCAATTCCTTTTGATTATTGTTTATTATTCTTGATCCAAGAACATTCGAAAAATTAGGAGTTGTCAAAGAATTGTTTTGTCCAAAAAATCATCATTTTGTAAAATAATTTCAAGATAAAATTTTTTTATTTCAATAGTGCTATTCGCTAAATGTTCTTGCACCAACTGCGAACTTCCTTTAGTTCCATTATCATTACAATGTACACATGTGGGTGGAATAATACATGGCAGGATATATTTTTGCACCTTTATTAAAATAATGTCGAGAGGTCTTTCTGGCACTTTAGAAATTGGCAAAATAAAAACTTTGAGAATTATAAAATTGCTTGAGATAATTTAAAAGCAATATTTTTTTTTTTTTCAATTTTAGGATTTCGAATTTTAATTGGGGAACCGTGATTTATCGATCATCGAAATTATTTTCCAACCATCATGTATGCTCGTAATAGAAGTTTTTTCACTGCGATAAAAACAAAAAAAGCATTACAAATACCAATACCACCGCCACCTCATCGACCTAATTCACCACCAAAATCATCATTATTATTACGAAATTTAGTCATAGGAACAAGTGGACTTGTTGGTTTAACATTGTTTTTAAAGTATTATTATTCTGATTCTAGGGCAGTAATACATAAATATTTGTCGACAACAGCGTTGAGACTTTTCACAACACCTGAAACAAGTCATAAATTTGCAATATGGGCGGCTAAACATGAATTGACGCCTAAAGATAAATTGGCGGATGATGAGTGTCTTGGTATTGAAGTAAGTGATGATATAATTTTCATTTTAATAATAATAATATATTTGGTGATGATGATTTTTAGTTTGGTTTTGATTATATGAAACTAATAAATAAATAATAAAATAAAAGGTCTGGGGTAAAAAAATATCAAATCCAATTGGATTGGCAGCAGGGTTTGATAAAAATGGAGAAGCGATTGATGGATTGTTTGATCTTGGATTTGGTTATGTGGAAATTGGTAGTGTAACTCCTGAACCCCAAGTATGAAAAAAAAAACAAACTGACTTGATTTTAAATCTGTGATAAGTATAATAATTGTAATCAAATAATGAAAAGTATATATAATTATTAATTCTTGATAATAATGGAAAAGCCAGGAAATCCAAAACCAAGAGTATTTCGATTATCAAAAGATAAATCAATAATCAATCGATACGGATTCAATTCTGATGGACATTACATAGTTGAGTCAAGACTACGTGATCGAATAAGAAGAAAAAGTAATGGAAAAAGAGGTTATTTGTATCAAGCTGGAGATGTAAACAAGAGAAAAGAAAATGAAGAAGAAGAAGAAGAAGAAGCATCATTGTTGTCTTCATCTTCGTCTTCATTTTGTAATAATAAAAGTTTAAAACATTTTAAACTATTAGGAATTAATTTAGGAAAGAATAAATGGAGTGATGTTGAGTCAGTTGATGATTATGTGAAGGGAATAAAAAGATTTGGAGAATATGCAGATATTTTGGTTGTTAATGTTAGTAGTCCTAATACACCTGGATTAAGAGGATTACAAAAGAAAGGTTTAATTGACAATTTATTGAAAGAGGTTTGTCTTTTTTTTTTTTGCGATTTTTAGTTTAATTTTTGAATAATAAATTTATTATTTATTATTGTCATTATTATTATTATGTTTTTTGGAATAACAATAATAGGTGATGAAAGCTCGTAATGAATTACATTTGTCAAGTAAATCATCATCATCACCATCATCACTGCCACCACTTTTAGTAAAAATTTCGCCGGATTTGACAGAAGAAGAATTAGAAGATATAGCAGATGCGGCAATGAATAATGGCGTTGATGGTATTATTATATCCAATACAACTACATCAAGACCAGCGTCATTAAAAAGTGGTTAGCAATTAATTATTAAAAAAAATCTTTATTAAAGAAATATATTATAAATGTAATATTATTTTTCATTTATTTTCTTTTAGATAAAAAGTTAATTTCAGAAATGGGGGGATTATCAGGACCACCTGTTAAACAATTATCACTGAGAGCATTAAAAAAAATATATCAATACACCAATGGGAAAATAGTATTGATTGGTTGTGGTGGTATAAGTAATGCACAGGATGCATTGGAGTATGCAAGAGCAGGAGCAACAATGGTTCAATTGTATACAAGTTTAACATATGATGGAGCTGGTAAAGTTAGAGAGATAAAAGATGGAGTCATTAAAGAGTTGAATAGTAGCGATAATGATGGTGATGATAATAAGAAAAAATGGAAAGATATTGTTGGTGAATATTGGAGGGAGAGTCATGATAAATAAGTGTAGGTGACTATTGCGATAATTATATGGTGGTTATTGTTGTTGTTGTTGTTTTTGCAATATAGATATTGATATCTAAAGAGAGATTCTCAAAAAAAAAAAAAAAAAAAAAACCATTTATAATAAATATATATCATACACACGCACACAAACCATATATAAATAAATATAAATATCAAAAACTATATTTTATTATTATTTTATTCATTCTGTATCCATTGACACAGTAGTTTCTTGATCTTGAGCAGAAGATGATTCACCATTGCCATGATCATCGCCATCATCATCACCACCTGTATTACTGGTAGTAGCAGTATCCAACAAATCCAAATATCCTTGTAAATTGTCACCCTCTATAATTTCAAATTTTCGATCAACACCAACTATTCCAACTGAACAATTTAGTGTTGTAAGCTCTTTATCTGATTGTAGTGTATCACGAAGTGCATGCAGACCATGTTTAACAAGTTCATCCAATGAGGCTTTGAGGAGGAAAGGGGAAAGGAAAAAAAAAAAGAATGTTAACTATTGTTTGTAGTAAGTAGTAATAATGTAATAGTAAGTTACCATCATTAAAACATTCATAATTTTTTTCAAGATATGTTTTTGCAGATTGTGACCTTGCACCAATTGACATTGCGTAATATTCAAAGAAATTACCAGAAGGTGCACATTCATATAAGTGTGGACCAGTTTCCTAATAAATAAGTAAATGAATGAATAAATGATGTATTGAATTTGTTAAATGAAAATTAAAATAATAATTTATAAATCAATCAATAATATTATCATAGTCATCATATTAATATTTACATCATGTCCAACAACCAATAGACCAACACCATATGGTCTTTTACCATAATTTTGAGTATTTATTTGAGCCTCTAAATAATAGAAAAATAAATTAATAAATAAAAATTTTAAATTTGAATTAACTTTCCCTTTCACATATACACAACAACATACACGCATGTATAGAATACTTACTATCACCAATTGCAGAGACAATACGATAAATTGGTAAAGGACGATTATAAATCATTTTAGATTTCATTGCTTCAGTACGCATAAAATTACTATAAAAGATGATGAGGTATGTCAATAAATAAATAAAATCCAATTTAATTATAAAATAGAAATTATAATCGATAGTGGTAATTAGTAGAAAATTTTAGTATTGATAAGAAAGAAACCTTAAAACTCTTGCATCTGAAGTTAGACCAGCTATTGCTATACCCAAATGATCATCAACTCTGATGATTTTTTTTTGATAAGATGCCAATTCACCAGTAGATCTCTTTCAAATCAAAAAAAAAAAAAGAGAGAGAAGAGTGGTGAATCAATTAACATCCAATAATAGTTCCAATTCATTAACAATCAATCGAATCATCATCTCAATACCTTTAATACTAATAGGACAGCGTGAGTTTTAGATCTTAGACCAACAGCAGCAGATCCTTGTTTTACAGCTTCTAAAGCATATTCTATTTGATGTATACGACCTTGAGGACTCCATGTGGAAATATCATTATCATACTGATTACGAAACTAATAAGTAAAAGTTGAAGAGAGAGGAGTTAGTGAAGATAGGTAGGTGAGTAAGGAAAGTGAACAGGTTGGAACGAGTAGGCTTTAAATTTTTTTGCTAATTAAACAATTTATCCATTTATTTTATTTTTTATTCAAATTGTCAATCAATTAGATTTGATAATTAGTAACAGAAATAATTACCATTATTATTATTATTATTTGAAAAGTCCAAGGTTGAGTGCGGGGAATGCGAAAGTGTCACGTTACACTCTAGTATTTTTTCGGCAGATGGTTTCTAAATTTGTACTAGTTTAATATAATTTATTTCCAGCACTACAATTCTTTAACAGCTTCATTTAAGATTGAACAAACTTTTTTACTAGTTCTACTTGCCATTTTTATCACTTTTGAAGTCCAATTATGCTTTCGTCTGTTTAGTTTTGTTTTTTTGATGGTGGTGGTTGTCCATTTGAAGACGACAAACTAGCATGATTTTTCTCGGTGAAAAAGAAATATTTTAAACAGAATAATGATTGAAAGATTGTGTGATTTTTTTTATAAAATAAATTAATGAATGTTTATTCTGGTGATAATTTTTTGGACGGTAAAAATTTGACAAGGTGCGTTTTTTTTGATTACGTATAAATCTTTTCCCAAAATTTCAAACTATGGAGCAACTATTGGCATCATTGCGAACAAAAACTCTTAGATGAAAGTTCTTCATAACCTAAAGTGATTTTACATTGGATATATCTTCGTTACGGTCCTATCGGTGGCAAGAAAAAATGGATCCCGTTATTAAAAACAAAAAAAGATTATTTCCGATTGGGATTAATTTAAACACCCAACTAAAGCTCCGAACGGTTCGGTTGAGACATCTTAAAGTCGTTAGCTACGCAAAAATATACTTCACAAATAACTTGTAGCTTGGTTTTGGCGAATGTGTGTTGCGAAGTAGAGAAGTCTACCATGGTAGCGAAGATCCATTTCTTACCAAAATTAGAATGGAGACTATGATTGAATCTTATCCATTTCATACATAATGTCACGTTAAATACAGCTGGTCTGAAATTATTTTAAACATTTGTTTCAATGTAATTCGAATACCCGAATTCATAACGAATAAGCTTTATTCGAATAGGAACTCTAACGACGTTCTATTCTCAATTCACATATAAAGTTCGTCGTCTCCCGCCAACCTTTTAAACACATGCAAACTCTTATTGTTTCAGATTCTAAACTACAACTTTTTTGAGTAATTAAGTCTGTGCCTCCAGAAAAAACTTGTTCAACCGGGACACTGGTTGCTATAGTAAGTTTATTAGGCTAGAAATTAATAAATCTGATTCTAAATAAGCAGAGTGCAAAAATTAGAATACCAAATAGTTTCTAGCCTAAAGCTCCGAACTTTATACCCAACATATAATGAACGAAGCATGGATGAATTGTTTTGTAGATATAAACGGGCCAGTATCTGCAAGTTCAATTGAACAATTCATGACATCAGCAGAAGACATGACATCTTCAGTAAATCCTGCCTATAATAAATATCTAGATAAAAATATCCAGGTAATAAGGAGCAACTAAATTAAATGATACAAATTTTTTTGAGAGAAATTATAGCTTCAATTTTATTATTATTAATGAAAATCAATTCAAGATGTTTGTTATAAGTGCTTCTTTACATGATAGAATTGATCCTGCTGATGGATATCATGTCTCATTTAAAGAACAACATAAATGTGAAACTGTAATGTTTTCTCAATTTTATGAATAATATAAATTTTATATAAACATCTATTCATGTGAAAATAACCTATTATTACAAAGCTTTCGAGGTGGAAATGTTGCAAGTCAATTAATTGATTTAAAAATATCATGGAAATGAATTGTTTTTATTAAAATCAAAAAAAAAATTTATTTAATTCAATAACAAAAATTTATTCTTGCAGTTTTTCAGTGATGGTTTTAATAAGAATTTTTGATACAATTCTTGTGTTGGAGCTCAAGACATCCATATCTTTCCACTCTGCTATATACCTTCTGGCGTTTTTCACATTAAATTATCTGATTTTTTTTAGCCTTTATTTCAAAGATATTATTATAGTTGAGATGTCAAACTTTAACTTTTATTTTATTTTACTAAAGTTTTCTTATTTGCTCTGATAAAAAAATAATAATTAGATTGTTAAAAAACATTTAAAAGTATATAGTATGTGTTACCCTTTTTTCGACTGACGATAAATTGAAAGTAGTTGTTCTGCAATGCAATGATATTCTACTGGCTTGATTTAAAAAGAGAAAATTTAATGTGAAATATGTATTTTATGTATTTGGATATTAATTCTAAAAATTAAAAATGCACACGTTTTCCAAATAGGAGAATTAATATTAATTCTAAAAAGTAATATTTTTTATTAAAATAAACTAATAAGCACATCATAGATTTCATACCAATATTTTCTTTTCTTTACTGTTTTTATTTTCTTTGTTAGATTCATTTTACAATTTCCATCATCATTACCAATATATAATTAAATAAGAATAGATTCATTCATTCATTGATCAATCTTTGTGATTATAGTTTTTTATTATGACCACGTGATCCTATTTATAAAAACGATGACGTAACGTGATTTTTTTACATGATTTTTTTTTATTGGCGTTGTTATTAACTTTGAAATGAGCACCCAAAAATTATTTAATACACAATTATTGTCAAGCTCCACCAATAATAATAACAACAATATGAATACAAATATGGAAACTACTAGTAATACCACTATTACAACTACTAATTATCCAAATGATATTTTTCAATACACTGAAGAAGTTTCTTGGTACTCAAATGATGTTGAAATGCAAGATGCAACAAATCTTCAAAGTACCCCACCACCTCCAATTCTTAATAACAAAGTTAATAAAAAACCAATGAAGTAAGTTGGTTGACTGGGTTGGTTGATTGGTTTAACTTTTACCAATAAATTTAGTAATTTTTTGCTTTTCGCAATCATGTAAACAAACAAACAAACAAACAATAATAATAATAAAGAATTGTTTCTCCAACCGATAATTTATTCTCACCATGTACAAAAAAATTACAGGAACTCAAATCAAAAAATTATAAAAGGTTTGTTATTCATTCATTAACATGCTAATATATTAGCCCTGCTATATTTAGTACTACTAATAAACTATTATTGTTTTTGTTAATCAAAATCAAATAGTGTAAAGCCTTTATTCCTCAATAATATTTTTGCTAAATCATTACAAGAAGAACAAGAAAAACAAATGAAAAAACAAAATGATTAATTGATAAATATCATCATCATAATTGTTGTTGTAATTTCGTATCCTCAGATGATGATGATGATCTATGTAAATTTTCATTGTATTTCTCTAGTCCAATAAAATCTTTAGCTTTCTCAGCATATTCAGTTTGCTTGACTAAATAACGATATGCATGTTGTTTATTACCATTCCTCTCATGAATCAAGCCTAAATTATCAAGTATCACATCACTACACTCATCACAATCTTTTTCATCAACTTGACTCTTTGAAATTATTAATACTTTTTGTATCCATCCCATTGCATCATCTTTCTTATCCATGCCATAAAAAACTTCAAACGTCCCACAGCTATTGCCTCCCAACAATGCCAATTTATTGTTGCATCTGTTTCAGAAGAAGCTAATGGTGATTATATTGTTGTTGTTGATCTTGATGTACATTGTATTAATTTTAACATTCCAAGATATATTGGTAATCAATACTATGGAAATTGTCAGATATTCTAGATATAATAAAAGTTGATGTATTGATTTGTATAATGCAAATTTAAATCCTTTTGTTATTAAATTACTTTTCATGATGATAAATAATTGTGATTGCAAAATTTTATTATAATAACATGTATTAGGGTTTTGGTTGAGATTTAATTTGGAATAAAGTCATTGGTTAATATGAGCATAAGTGCTTTTTTTATTTCTTTTGTATTTTTTATGATTATATATTTTTCATCAAGAAATTTCTAAAATATTTTGAAAATCCAGATTCACAATTAATTGTAATTATAGTTGTAATTATTGTGAATACAAGTTACAATAATTGTCATAATGATGAATTGACTTTATTGTTGTAAAAAATTTATTATTTATTGTAAATGTTATTAACAAATTTTGCAAAGTCAATGTCATTTTTAGAAAGTCCTTGACAATCATGGGTAGTAAGAGTAATCTCAACAGTATTATAAACCTAAAAATAATTAAAATAAATAATTAAAAATTTCATTATATAATTATTAAAATTTTAAAATAAAAATATACACTTCTTACATTAAACCATTCAGGATGATGATTCATCTAAATTAAAATGTAAAATATTAATAATAATGATAATAATAAACAATAGTAGTGGTGATTAATTATATATGTATATATTAATTACCTTTTCAGCTTTTAAAGCAATTCTACTCATAAAACCAAATGCTTCATTAAAATCTTTGAATTTAAATGTTTTCTTAATTGCATCTCTGTCCTGAAGAATTTCCCAAGAATGTGTTTCAACCAAAGGCTTTAAAGAAGTTTCACGTTCAGCTTCATTTAATTTGACAACCATTTTTTTTTAATTTCAAAAATTTCCCACATAATGATGGGGATACCATTATTATTATGTCACAAGGAATTTCAGGGTTCAAAATTGTTTAACCAATCATTGACCTTGCAAATTATCGAGCAGACAAATTTTCTATTTCATAGGATAAATTTGACAACTCCACACTTCTTTATTAAATAGTCCAAAAACTGGCAGTAAAGTTTCTTCTTCTAAGGGGTTGATTTTGCCAATATTTTTGTAGGAAAGTCTCCTCATGCTTCGATGAGTTCTTTATTACAGGGACCACTATAAATCTTTTTAGATAAATTCTCAAATAAACAAACACGAAGCAAGCAACCACACGTTTTATTGGATAGCGTGAAGGTTATTGCAGCAAGAAATAACTCTTTTTCATTTACTCTTAAGACACAAAAATCACAAAGCAAACATTAAACCTCTATTTTGAGGAAAATTTGGTGCATTATTTTTGACATTGACTAATGATTCTAATGGTAGAGTGGCTGCGGAAATGCCCTTCTATCAGCAAGAATATATTGACGGGCATGGAGTTCTCGGTCACATTAATGACAGGTTGAATATTCATCATTGATAGCTTTGATTCAAGAATCGACTACTCTATTACTATTATATACTATAAAAAATCTTGTACAAAAAATGTATTGTTTTTCCGTAAAAAGTTTTTATAGTAATATGTTAATATTAATATGGGGCATATAAATTGGGCATAAATTCTCAGTCCGTTATAGAAAGATCCATTATTATTATAGAGAGAGTGGCTACAAGTATATTTTCCTCACAAAATTAACAACTTCAAATATTTTTCTCTTGATTTAGCCAGACAGTAGGCTTGCCCTTTATCTATTATTATTGGTTTAGTATGTATTTATATTTAATCATATAATTTACATATCATGTATGTACTTATACTTGTTCGTTCATTAATTAATATTTGTTCATATTGAAAAAAAAAGTAGCGAATGAACTTGCCAAGATGTTAAAGATGGTGCTGCGAGCGTGGAATTTCTGATTACAAACTCGAGGGGTGTCTGATAAAATACAAGATAATATATATATATTTGCTGCCGACACACGGTTTACGTCTTTTCCAAAAAAAAAAATTTTTCCTGATGTTGGAAAGAATTTCAAAAGAGAACGCTGACTTTAACACAGTTTGTTTGGGGAATATATATGACCCAAATAAATCAAGGAAATGCCAGTGCGAGATAGTAAATTGAAGATTAACTTGGATCCCGCCCGATTGTTGAATCAATTCATTTTATATAATGACATCATCAATGACGCGTTTTTGCATTTAACATTAGTAATTAATATTAGTCGCTCATTATTAATCATTCTATTTATTGCAAAAATTCAAGAAGTATAAATACACTTAAATTTCCTTCATCTTTTAATAATAAAAACTGTATCTGACTGTAATTAATTAATAATCCTTTCTGATGATTAATGGTTGGCCAACCTTTAACTATTAGTTTGGACTTGTAGTGATGTCTCAAATAGTATAATTGTACTTTTTTTTTGGAGCATATGAAACTGGAAAGGAAACCGAGACACTTGACCAGAACTCGCCTACAATAATAGTATATGTGCAGCTGGAAAGAAAACCTTGCACTTGACCAAAAATAGGGTTTCTATTCAATAATTCGAATTAAGATTGAGTTGTATATGATGGAATAAGAATTTGTATTATGATTTATGAATAGGAAATCTGGCAGAAACGCGGTGAACTTTTGAGTTTGTTTTATTATTATTGTGAAATATTACTAAAATCAAAAAATTACGAAATTTAGAATTTCAATTACAAAAAGTCTAGAAGAAATACAACTTGAGAAAAACAATGATGTTTCAATAAGTGATTCAGAAAATAATGGTAAAAACATTATTTAATAAAAATAAAAATTAGATTCTTATATTTTTTTAAGATAGTTGGCAATTCTGATTGAAAATAAGTTCTAGAAGGAAGGAATTGATTGATGCGAGCCACATTAACGTCAACATTACAATACCAAAAAGAAAAAGATCAAGGGTGTTATAAGTCTTGAGTTCAATGTAGTTATTATTGTGGACCCAGGATGAAGGTGGACAGATCATTGTTCATCATAGCATTAATTTTCTGTAGCTCAGTCTTATGTGCATTGTTTGAAAAAATCAATGTTTCTTTTTATCTTCCCTTCCAAATGCTTACCACACTTTCAAGGATGAGTGTATGGTCTGTCCACCAATGTTCTGGGTGACAACACCAGTATGGACTATCAGCAGGGTATTCTTTTCTTTTAGACTAATTATTCAAATGGCTTTCCAAACTTGTCAAAAAGTATGGATATTTTCCATTTGATGATTTTCCTCAAGTGTTGCACAGGGTGCTATAAATACTATAACCATGTTTGAAGACAATTTATTTTTGTCAAAAATTTCATTTTGAATAAAGATACATTACTTGAGCTTGGAATTTTGGAACAAACAGATGAAATATTTGTATTCAAATTACAAATGGTGCTATATTAGAAATCTATACAAATTTTTTAAATCAGGAAATTTGGATAACAATAATAAATGTGAAGTTTTGTATAGAACTTTTGCATCAATTATATAACCTTTACTTTTCTCTCCCTTATTTACATATATCAATATAAATAAATCTTTATTTTAAATAAAATAAACAGAATTTATATTTTTAAATATACAGTAGCCAAAAATCATACAACAACTACTATAAAATTATTGAATGTGCATATTTGACATCCAATTTCAAAATTAATAAAAAATCCAAAAAACATGAAATTATTATATACCTTTATATATACCATTATAAATAATTAATTTCATTTCCCAAGATATTTAATATAGTAACCAGATAAATAAAATAAAATAATAAATAATTTTATTATATATAATCTAATGCATCTAATTCAATCTGATGAGAATCTATAAATATTTATTACAAGAGTGGTGGATATTAATAAATTTTAAAAATTAATAAAAAAAAAATAATCAATGATTAAATGTTAATAATCACCATCATTATTACCAATAATTGTTACTTTATTGGAATTCACAGGTTGGGGAAGGCTTGTAAATTTTAATAATCTGCTAGTATAAACAGCATTTGGATGAATTACTGCAGTAATTGTTGAAGGATCAAAATCCATTTCATCCATTTTATCAAATTCTTTTCTAATTGATTTTATTTCATCACACTGTTCTTTGGAATATCCATAAAGTTCAGGATTATTGATTATATTAGCATTAAATGAATCAAACCAAAAATAAATAATAGTCTTATAAATTTCATTAGCAGTTGGACGTTTATCTGGATTAGCATTCATGCATTTGAATGCTAGTTCAATATAGAATTTTGGTGTGTTGTTTGAAAATCCAGGTCTTACACCTTCACATATTTTCATTGCAAGACCAACATCATGTGCCAAACTATTAAATGGTTGTTGACCAGTTGAAATTACAGACATCAGAACTCCGAAACTATATATGTCTGATGCTGTTGTATATGGTTTCTCCTTTAAAAC